GCCATGGCCCTACCCTGTTGTTTCAGGTGGTGTTAGAGCCCTCCAAGCCGTACCGTGTGACTTCAGGTGACATTAGAGCCCTGGTCCTACCCTATCCTGTTGCTTTAGGTGATCTTCGAGCCCTGGTCTACCCTACCCTGTGACTTCTGAGCCCGGAAACCAAATGTTTTCTAATTAGTGCTTTTTTCCTTAACTCATTTCTTTTACTCTGATGCAATCGCATGTGTTTCTGTATTTGTTTTTCCCAACCAAGGACGTTCTATATTTGGGAGAATAAGACATAGTGAAATTAACTTAGTCACATGCGTGTTTATCTTATGTAAGATACAGAGAGAAAAAGTGAGATATTATATAATCCTTGATTGACAAAAATCTGATAGAATAGCCAATTCAACAGTAATAAACGCAGCGATAATAAAAGAAGTGTCTAAAAGTACTATGGTTACCAGTGCATGTGATACTGATTAAAGAAATGGTTAAAATGTAAAAAGTGATTTGATTACAAACGTATTACTCTAAGAAATTTTTGAATAATTTTCAGTGCTATTAGTCACATTCACTTTTTGATATACAATGTCTCACATTACTTGATAAAGGTCTCTGTAGTAATACTTTTCCTTACTTTAAAAGCAGAATTATCTGATAAAGGTACACGACCATAACACTGTGTTTTTATTATTGATGATGAGAATGAATAGTTGCGTATGTAGTTTAATTTTTTGTTTTAGTTTTAGATAATTGTTAAATAGATGATTACTACACTACTTTCATTATCAAATGAATTATTTTTCGATATATGGGATTATTTTGATTCGTCTGAGATTTATTATTCATTTGCTGGTTTGAATGGACGAATTAACAATTTAATTCGTATTAAACCAGGAACATCTGCCAAAATAACATCGTCTAATCTTGATTCTTATATGAAACATATTTTACCAGTAATGAAATATCAATTAGTAGCACTTAAATTCGACGAACAAAATGAAAAACATTTTGAATTATTTACTAACAAATATCCATTGGATAAATTTAAACATTTACAAACCTTAACTATTTTTCACAGGGAAGGGCCAGGGCTCCAGAAACAGCTACCCTGCGCATGTCTATTTTGGTTGAGCTACCGAATTTTCAATATTTTTGGGCCTCCTACCCTCTAAAGAAAGGTGTGTACGAAACCTAAAAAGGTATAGATACATGCAACCATTTGGGTTTCGTAGAGGACAACGTAGGTATGAAACCGTTTAAATGCATAAATTCTATTAGTTTTTTTCTGAGCAAGTGGATCATTTCAGGAGCTCAGACGTGCTTTCATAGCATAGGGCGGCAAAAACTGAGCGCAAAAAACACCTGAAACTTCTTTAATTTTTGATTTTTCGCGAGAAAATCATGAGGAAAAAACATAACGAAATAAGCAAATGCGCTGATCAATCGTTTCAACGCACTTAAAACGGTTTCGTACCCTATCTTTTCTTCTATGAAGCCTAAAAGGATTTAGAAATGATTGCACTTCTCTATACCCTTTTAGGTTTCGTACACAAACCTTTTTTTTTTAGAGAGTAGGACAAGAAAACAATACCAATTCATAACTTTTGAAGGAAATGCCGTGGACTGAAATCCTTTTAGAATTTTTATTTGCTTACTAACCTCTATCGATCGGCATATAAATGATTGTAAATCATCTCACGGTGTTCTCTCGTAAGAGAAACTCTTTCTAGAGAAGATTTTTGTGCGGTTTATCGTTCTGTCATTGATTATGTTTCCTCAACTACACGTTTTGAAGATAAAAATTAATTTTCTTTTTAAATGTATATGTGCGTGCGTTTATACAATATTCTACTTCAATCAATTAGTCAAGACGATTTGAAGTATAATAAATCCAAATTCGATCAACGTTCAGTCATTCTGTGACAAGAATAATAATGGGGATGAACTCTCTTTTTTTGTCACAAGTGGACATGTTTGTTTCTTTATTTGGTAAATTTAGAAAAACCATGTCTTTAGAGATATGAACTAAATTTTAATTGCTCATATTTGAGAAAACCTATAATTTGATAAGAATTTTGTTTCAAAAAAAAATTCTGTCTGTTTGTTGTTGACAATTCGATGTGTTTTGTTTTTTTACGCATTAATCTATTCGAAAAATACATCGAAAGATAAGAATTCGTAAGTGATACGGTGACTCCATGGATTATAATAATAAACATATATAATTATTATAAAAGTCTTTCAGGAATAGTGTTTCAATCGTGTTATTACAATATGAAGTGGAT